ATATATATATATATATATATATATATTCATTTATTCACGGAATGATTACAATAAAAATTCACTGCGCTAAACTACTGTTGCTTTCTTTGGGAGCATCAGAAATAAATGACCCGAGAAGTTGGACCTTAGCATATATTAGAAAACGGTCAAGCGTGTACGAACTATAACATTTTGGTCTATTACTATTAGTTTTCAAATATGATAAGGCCCAACTATCGTATTTTGGGAATTTGAGCACGTTACGGTTCACACCGTAGTACAGCATAAAATATTGTCAAAATGAATCCAATGATTACTTATCTATCAATCTGCCCTCATTTAGAACGAAGAAAAGAGTACCAACTAAAGCACCATGCATATCCTTTCACCTTATATCTTTCAAACTTTCACCTGCCTAATTTTCAATTTCAAACTTTTGGCAATCACTACTGCACAATTCAAAAATCTTGAAAATGTGACTGTTCTATTGTACTCCCAAGTATCTCAGTCAGAAGAAAAGATGAAAAGTAGAAATGATTGCAATCAGCAATTTAATCTACAAATTTGCTTAGCAAAAATGTTTATTACTCGATACCTAACGCACACTAATTTATTTTCATAAATTAAAAACAATGATAACCAAAGTAACTTATTTGTCCACTTAAACTCATCATACTTTTTCTTTAGCGAAAAGAACTCAGTTCTGCTTCTTAGTAGTCTGAATTGTTCGCTGACGATAACTAGCGCGCACTAATGCACAACTAAGCAATGATTTTTCATGCAAAAGCTAAACTGCCATTTCCACGTAAATTCCTAAAGCCTCCATTTTCTTCATCACAACCCTCTAATTTCACGTGATTTTCCGTCTATACCATTTGTTGGAAATGAATAATCAAAAGAATCAATAACTAAAAGAGTTAGCAATAAGTGTAACAACAATGTTATTCGCAAAAGCAGAAAAAGTTTACTAAAAGAAATGAAAAGTGGCAGCACATCTGCTTCTGTTCCACTTCCCTTGCCCATAATTTGTGCAAAAAGTCTTATCTATTACAAAATGCAGAGAAATAAGCAAAATTTGAATGCAATGAAGTGAACGAATGAATTTCAAATGTAAGAAAAAATAAATATATACAAAAGTTTGCCTGACTCACTACTATTATCCATTTTTAATTATAACTAATACACTCACAAAACACACCATTTTTTTTAATATCTGCGATCATTATTTTGTACTCACCAACATAACGATAATAATAACATTCGCATGATAAAAGTGATAGTGATATTTGCAAACAACAAAATGAGTGACTACGACTATAAATGGAATTGAATCAAATACTCGAAAAATTTGCACAATAATGCAAAAGCGATTCTTCTTGGCGCTGCATGCAGAAGAATACTAACAAATATGCCTAATTTGTGAGCATAAGAGAACGTGCTTTCTTGTCTTAGCATGTAAACATGAATGAATGCCCTCCATCTGCTCATATCTTCCGGTGAATTTAGCATTGAAATGCTGTGATCGATTACTTTTGGAAATGCCAGGTCGATAAATTATTGAACTAAGTAAGATTAAACAAATATGCAAAAATAAAAATTATTACGATTATACTAATAAATAGATCACTCTCACGCACAGAGCCCAAATATAAATTAATTTAAAGCATAGTTAGACTCACCAAAAAATATTACAGTTGAGCAGGTGAAAAAAATTTTTCTTTGATAATGCAGTTATTTGAGTTCGCTATTAATTGATTGAATTTATGCTAATTATGCATATGTTCAAGCAATTAACAGCGAACTCAAATAACTGTGCATATATCAAAGAAAAAATTAGCTGATAATGTATGATGTTAATTAATAATTAATAAAGATCAGATCTCCTGTAGATGAATAGACGATTAAGCAAATAGTAACAGAGTTAGTAAGGAGCAATAAGTGTGTAAGTAAACAAATTTTTATTGCAATGCTTAGCTTCACTCACATTGCAGAATATCATCCCATTAAATTGAGTACCATTTGCTTCAACTAATATTTGGTACCAAATTATATTAATTAAGAATGCTTGGCAACCAAGTTTAAATCAGACCCAAATGTTCACTCATTTAAGTATTGGAATTATCAAAATTGCTCAGTCAAAATGCTCATGCTAGATCATCTACCCATCTTAATGCTTTGCCTTCATCTTACGATCAACAAACGCCTCTTATTAGTATATATTTGGATATTTTTCAAATACTGAAGACCAGAGAGTAATATAAAAATAGCTACAATATTGAAATCAAATATTTGAAAATATTGACTTCTGTATAGACAGCGAAAAAAATGAACGGCCTGCTCACTTCTGAGACTTGCAGAATCTTTATCGTTGTGTAACGATGAGTTCAAGTAAGTCATAATTACAAGATATATATCGAAGATAAAATCAATTTATAATTTTGATTACGGAAATTAATTTGCAAGGACGATACTTTCAATGCAGATTCTGAGCAAATGCCGAATAAATTCTTGCTAAATGAGCGCAAAATTTTGATTGCGATTTTTCTTGACAGAATATTTGATGAAAAATTAGATATGCAAGTGCAGCAAGTTCTCGACAACTAATTAGTAATCGATTACAAAAAAGTAATGGACTTTCTCCATAAATCGAGAGATCTGTTTGTTTAAAAGATGCCTTTTGCGATAGAAACCAAACATTTACGTGAAAGTTTTGACGGCGTCTGAGACGCAAATGCAGAGTATAACTGAATACCATATGCCACAATGTGGTTGGCCTTCACAAGCCACAAGAACTTCCTGCTCTATTTAGAATTCACATGTATTCCACTTGACTGCGAAATAATCAAGATCTCATCTGACTACTGCACAATCCGACTACTTGTAACAGAAAACACACAAACAGTAAATGCTACAAGCCAATAATGTAGATGACTGGATGCAAAGTCTAGTAATGGCCGAACACTTTATGATAAATGGACGGTATGAAAAAATAATCCCTACTACGTTCTCGACGTTCTATATAATTTGCCTTCACATAAGACCTACGTGAAAGCAAATTGTACTGTATTTCCGGCTACTGGGGCTGATACACCCGTATGATATTTGAGCTTTTGTTTGTGTTTTGTTATAAATTGCATACAACACTTTGGAGAGTTAGATATTTTTTTCTGTTTTGTCGTAAGATATTTTGTCATGAAAATATTATTTTATCATATTTTCATTGCTGGAGGTTGCTGTGACTCAGGTACGGTGGAAGCAGCTACTGACATTAGTTGTGAAAAGTTTGAGTTTTCTGTGAAGTTTCAAAGTTTGAGGTATATTTGTAATTTGCTTCACATTTATAATGCCTTGCATTTTTCTAAATTATTTCAATATGAGTTCAAATTCTTTAAATTTTCGCCTTTTCATAACTATACATTTTTTTCAAAATTATTTGCAATGCACGTTGAAACTTCACAGAAAATTCGAACCTTTGACAGCTAATGTCAGTAGTTGTTTGCCCAGTTTACTGCTTCTACCGTACATGAGTCACAGCAACTTACAGTAATGAAAATATGATAAAATAATATTTTTATGATAGAATATCTTACGAGAAACAATACGAACATAAAAAAGTCTAACTTTCCAAAGTGTTATATGCAGTTTGTGACAAAATACAAATAACAGCTCTAATATCATCCCAATTTGCAAGTAATAATTTGCAAATACCTTCGTTTTCAGGTTTCGAGATAAATTGGGTCAGACCTTAATATACAATGGATTATCTGAGAAGCTTACTTGATTCACTGTGTCCACCGAAAAGACCTAAATCTGCTTCAGTGCCGAAGCTAAATTCTTTGATGACAGTAATAGATTTTGATATATAAATACTTTTACTTTTCACATGACTTGACTCTAAGCAATTCTATAAGATTTTAAAGTAATTTAGTTTTTAATATCTTTTCTGTTCAACTCATTGCCATTAAATACCGCTGAAATAAAGAATGAAATAGGTAACTGTGACTTCATAAATAACTCTTAATAAGATGCTGTAAATAAGTTGTTATAAAATTCTTGTCCGAACATCCAAGTGGTTTTTGTCATTTTTAACGAACAAAAGAATTTTTCCCCTCTTCTTTTAGAATTTCACTTGTGACTCAAATTTGGTACGCCTGGCAGGATTATCAGGTGCTCTTGCAATATCATTTGGTGCTTTTGGATCCCACGCACTGCGGGAAAATGGAAATGTAGATGAACGTCGGTTGCGTGCTTTCGATACTGGCAACCGATATCACTTGATACACTCAATTGCTTTACTTGGTGCAAGTAAATCTCGTTTCCCGTGGCTTACTGCTGCGCTTTTACTTGGTGGTATGACAATTTTTTCAGGTTCTTGTTATCATTACAGTATTACCGGAAAGGAAACTATGAGAAAATATACTCCTTTCGGTGGTCTGATGTACATTTTGGCCTGGCTGTCATTTTTAATTTGATTCAGTCTCCATGCTGCATTTACTTTGATTGTTTTGACATTTTGAACATTTTTATAAGATGATATTGTTGCATTAACGAATTAGGTTTCGATGTATAGATGCTTTTACTTTTCACATGTAAGTAATCAATTGGTACATATAAGTATGAAAATACATTTTAAATTTTTGACTTTTCAAAAATTGTTAATTTTTATTTCATTCTTTTATATTTTACACTAATAAACGAACATATAATTTCACTATTAGTACATTATTTACATTATACTAATTATGCTTCTCTTGAATAGCCAAAAAATTTTTTAAAGTGCTAAATATCGAGTAGTGCAGTCTATTTCATCAACGAGGAATTGAAAGAGATTGCCCGTTTTTTGTCGTTTTTATCGGTGCACTATTTCCGGAAAATAATACAATCATGAGCCTATATTATAGGGATTTGAAGGCCATAAACTGAACTTGACTCGAAAATATGAAATTTTTTATAAAGCACTCGTATCTTGGAAATGGAAATTCTGTGTGCGTACAGAAAATCTTAAGTACTATAAACGTAGATGAATTTCTAAAGTTCTTTCTTATGTGGTTTATTCATATCCAGTGATTGCATCCATTTTCAGTGTAGCTACTTTCTTCTTCTCCTGCTTTAATTATCACGGGAAAATTGCATTAATCCGCTACACATCAATAAAAACTTGAACATCTGAATCAGGTATCGAGATCAGTGTACTCGAAAGACAAAAGAGTGTTAAGTGAAGAGACTATGCTAGAGCGTCATTTGCTTGGGCAGGATCGATCTGGCTTTAAACATACTGTACTGCTTGCATTTTCCAAGCTGACATCTGCAAATATACAAGTATACTGACTAAAATTAAGTGTTATATTACTTCAAATAATAGTAGCTGTGAAATTAATAAGGTTTTGTTCAGAAGTAATTTCTTTAGCTTTTTAAGTGGGAAATGTCTGCAGAGAAAGAAATTCTTGCTTAATCGTAATCTCCCATCCTGAATATCTATTACTGTAAACAAGACTTGCAAAGGACGGTAGATATAAACCAAGCAAAAATGATTGAAAAACAACGTCACTTTTGCGAGCTATAATTCTATCAGCTCTTGTTATGAGTGTTTATTATTTCTTATACACAACGGAGTTGTTTTTTAACTCGTTTCCATCAAAAACAGCAAGGACGATTACATTAAATAGCTGTGTCTTAGCATGCACTTCTACACAACAATTAAGTAATTTTCAGTTTCACTATTTCAATACTAAGTATTTTGATATGAATGGAATGGGTAATATACTGAGAATTTCATATGTACTAGAAGATGAGTTTCTTCGCCAAATCATACTGAATGATAGATAAATTACCATTGTCGATATTCTTTAATGAAGTAAATGCCCATTTCGGTGTTTCACTCTTAAGAACCATTATCAGCTGATCAATTTCTTCCGTAGTCATGCCGATTGCACAGGCAACATTGATATAATCATAATTTCCAAGTGATGAGTGTGATCCAAAACTGGCGAATTCATAACCGTCAATTTTTTTTATTAATCCTTTTTGTATCACTCGAGCACCAGTAATACCACGACTAAATAATCGCGCACCGAAAGCACTTTGATCATTTTTTGGCCAACCTTGCAATGTTACTGCGATGGAAATTCGATTTGACTTTGCCTCTAGAACCTAAAACAGTTAAAAATAGTAAAAATAACGAAAAGTAATCTTTAACTTCGAATAGAAGAGCAATTTGATTAATGTTATTCACACAATAAGTGGATCTTTTCGGTAAAACAATTTTGCAATGCAGTAGATCAATTATATAATTTGATAGTACTGTTAGTCCAAGTTATTCAAGATCAAGAATTTCTATTTGATTCTAATACAGGTTAAGAATACCAGGTACTTACTTTCTGACCAATCGATTCTGCATAATCTTGCATAGCAGTACTGAGTATTTCGAAGTTGTTCTGCTGCACTTCATAAAGATGTTTCAATCCAGTTTTACCTATCTGCAGCAGTGTAATAAGCAAATCCCGTGATGGTACCATTGAAGCTCGTCCTGGATAGAAATTCGCGATATTATCTAATGCTTTTTTACTGAAAGTTGCTACAACTGAACCACCAACTGGTACTAAGAAATTCTTGTCGGTAGACTGTACAAAAGCATCAATATATCCAGATGACCCAGCTTCTTCTATTCTTTTTCGGCATTCTGGTGACTGCAGTCCATAAGCATTATTTACCAAATGCTTCACACCATATCGCTTGCATAGCTCACCAACAGCAATCAAATTATCTGGTTCACGCGGTGCGAAGCCAGATGTAGCACTCAGTACAGCTATGATTTCGTGGTTTTGTTTTTCCAAAACTGTCCTCAAATTAATCAGATCTGTTGTTAAACTATCACTTGTTTCTGTTCCCGGAACACTGTCAATGATGATGGGCTCATAGCCAGCAGTAAAAATTGACTTTAGGCAAGATTTCTGGTCTATACGTAGAAAGACTACAAATTTTGCATGAGGTTTATAGTGTCTCCATGAACCCAAACAAACTGATAACGACATACCCGTGGCTACAGGAACCACCATAGCTGCCTTAGTACTAGGAATTCCGAGAAACTTAATTGCATCTAGGGCTAAATTATTGGCAATTGTGGATAAAATTGTAGAACCAACTGCTTTTGGTTGACCTTCTGTTAGATTTCCAGATCTACCAATACCATGTGCAAAACCGTAATGTAATTTCTCAACTAACGATGATATTACACGACCTTCACGTTCACCTGCGCCAACAGAAATACCACCAAATCGATTGTTTGAATCCAAACTTGCCAGACGTATGAGGAATCCTTCGATGACCTGTACTGACAACCCTTTCCGGGGGATACATCCATCACACAGTAAAGTCCGCTGCAGACGGTCAAAACATCTTTCGCTTCGATTGATTGTTTCTTCGACCGCTTTCATTCTGCTACATTAATTTTCAAATAAATTAACAGAATTTGGATAGTGAAAACAGGGACCGAGGGAGAAAAAACCGTCTGTTACCACGTCCAAAATAATTCACTTCCCGTTACCGCCAACTCCCCCTCACATACACATCAGAGGATGTCCTACTGACTTGTATAGGAAGTCGATGATTTCATAGCTAAGAAACTTACGAAAAATTAAAGTGACCAACGGTTCACCTCTTTTTCATGAACTAAAAAGTATGGAACTGACATTTTTTCTCAAATAGTGGTAGGTTAATTAAGATGAATAAATAACCATATGAACAGCTTAAGTCTTATGCACATCTGGGATTACCAATATTTCCAACGTTTTTGTTTACAGATTTTATTGTTGAGTGATTGAAATACGATTTTACTAAAAATGTTCCTTAATCTTTGCTACTTGCAACTACTTCTTCAACATAAGTGAACGTATCTCCATGAAACACAAAATAACTCCTTTATCAGAAATGCTTAAAAAAGTATAAAAGCGAAGTTCATACTATCAACAAAAATTAAACCCTTATTTCTTCACTAATGGCATACTTTTAATATTTAGGATGTTTTAAATATATTGCAACATAATTAAAGAAAAAGAGTACAATTTTTGACCATGAACCTTGAGTTTTTTAAAAACAGTACGTTTCAGCTCTGTTAAAATCCATTTTGAAAAATTCCTTGCAATAACAATTTTTTTAGCGATATAATAATTGAACAAGTGCAACAACATATCAAGTAAGAACCGTAGCTTAACGATTTGACTTTGCAACACGCTCTAACTCATCTTTCTTTTTAATGGCATATGAATTTGACGATCCTTTCGCTGCATTGATCAGTTCATCTGCCAAACATTCAGCTATTGATTTGATATTACGGAATGCTGCCTCACGTGCGCCAGTACAAAGAAGCCATATTGCCTAAAATGAATACTTTTTATCCATTTTCGGTTTTCATAAAACCAAATTCAGACACTAAATTTAGACGGAACAATTGTATATTTTTTGCTCCTTATAGCTGATCTGAAAATTCTGAAATACCAAGAATCAGACCTGGTTCACACGACGAAGAGGCGAAACATCAACTGCTTGTCGTCTGACGGTGCCTGCTCTGCCAATACGTGTTGAGTCTTCTCTAGGACCACTATTTATTACAGCATGAACAAGCACCTGCACAGGATTCTAAAAACAGCAGTTACAAAAGCAATTTCAAGTAAAACATGATTAAATATATACTTATAATGCATATCTTGAAATTTTGTATTATTGAAGGATATGGTAATAATTAATTTTGTTTTAAATACCTGAAATCAAAAATAACTGCATTAAGTTTACTCCTGACAAACATTTATCACAAGTTAAGTCGCAAAAATGAAACACCAAAACCTAACCTCCCCAGATAATAAATGAATGATCTCAAAAGCATGTTTCACGATACGAACTGTCATCAATTTCTTGCCATTGTTTCGCCCATGCATCATCATAGTCGATGCCAATCTTTCTACTACAGGGCATGTTGCTTTTCGAAAGCGTTTTACTTGATATCGGCCAGCACTATGGGGTAAATATTTTGCTGATTTTCCTTTGACTGCTATATAATCCTTAAAAAAACCATATTTTAAAATGACCTGAATTATCTACAGCAGGAAGCAAAATTCTCTGATACCTTCATTTCTGATGAAGGATAAAGTGAGTCTATTAACCTATGTTTTGCATACAATTCAAGCTCTATATATCAGTTTCTGCAAATAAGATCAATCTACACTACTTTCTAATTTTATCGACTTATTATTTACTGATCCAAAATGACACTGCCATATACAGACTCGACAGACAAAATTTTGACTTGCCTCCAATCTCACTACAAATTTAAAACTACTGCTCATAAATGAACCAAATAAGTATCTTAAAAACACTAAAACTAACCACTAAAGATATATCTGAAATGTGGACTTCGTCCAACGACCATTTGCCAAAAAGTTTGACTTCTGGTGCTTCAGTTTGTCCCATAGGTTCATCATAATTTGGGATTACCTCAGTAGCATCAGATATCCACTGATCCGCCATACTATACTACTTAATTAGTAATAACTAAAAATGCATAATTATACTACGCCTTCCACGTGTAAATAATTCAACTTTATACCATTCCGATTTGTTCACTGAGGTAAATATTTTGCTAATTCTCCTTACACTGCTATGTAATCTAAAGAGAGTCATATTTTAAAATAACATGAGTTATTATCACCTGAGTAAGAAGCAAAATGCATTGATTTACTCTTATTTCGGAAATAAAAGTAAATTAATGAATTTACTTTTACAGTTACAGTATAAGCTAACGATTGCATTAGTCAAAGTAGCTTCAAATGATTACTATGAACCACTGGCTCACCAATGATTCTATAAAATATATGAAACAGTCGTAGAAGAAGTGTTATGATAACAACAAGAATAACGAGGTATTAATACTACAATTGATTTCTCGTACGCCAACGATGTCATTTTAATTCATAAGGTCTGCAAACATGTTAGAACACGTAGAAACATCAAAATTATACTTCAGACCTTATAAATTCGACACATCAACAAGTATAAAGAAGCCTCGTAATCCGACGTATGTCACTACATCATTTTAACTAGGACATAATGAAAACGGCTGTTTCACTACATTCATTTCTTCATTATATGTTGTAAATGTAAACAATGTGTCAGTACTACGTAGCGTAGACTACGTTGCTAAGGAATATACATCTTCATGGTAAGAGTTTCTCGAAATGGCACACGTTAAAATAGCTCTGCGATAATGCTGAAACCACTTTTGTTATGGCTATCAGAAGCATCACACCGTATTACTACTGCTCAGAGCAAAAATTTTAAATATCTATTATGAATGTACAAGTGTCACGTGGTACTACGGACTTTTGTAAAATGTTTGTTTGTAACACATTACAGAGTATTTATTCATTATAACAGTAGTTAACATTCATTCTGATGAAAAAAATAATATTGTCAATTTGGAAGAAAATTGGTGCTAAACACTGTATTCTATTATCAATTATAAAAAACAGTATGTTTGATTTTTTCGTAAATTCGATTTTATCCTTTCTACGTTTTTATTTATGAATTGAATTGAGTAATAATTTTTATCACTTGAGTTTTGTATGAAATCTACGTGTAAATCAAAGTTTGCACTTCAGCGTGCAATGCTTATCTTGTTTAGGTCTTCAATTTGAAATTCCATAAATATCAAGTAATCCTATAAATTTTATTGCAAATTTAACCCGTTATTTTCAATTAATTTACTTGGAATAATATGTGAATGTCACATCATACGTTACAGTGTTAACTTTAAACGTGAGGATTTTTATTAATAATTTGTTACAAATATTTAATAATAGTATCCATCAAATTGTATATTTATTGTTCAAAAATATGAAAGCTATTGTTGTAATACAGATTTGATGATTTTTGATTTACGGTAATTTCATTAAAAGTTAGTAAATGATCAGAATTTTAATGAAATACTGATAGTATTTGAGCCACCCCGCACAGAAACTGATTACTTCCTTTGTAACTCTTTGCTTTTTCATACGGTAATTACATTTTAATTTTATTAAAAATTCTTACATCAGATTTACTTTATATCACGTAAACACATAAATATCCAAAGTGAAACTTATCCTTCATTATCCCTTTGAAGTCGATAAAAGGTTATATTTCAAGAAAGTGATTTTAAAAATGTCAAAAAC